TAGGGCGAGGAAATTTAGTCACAGTTAAAAGCGATGTTGTCTCCGCTACAAAGGGATAATATCAATATTCGATTGAAATTTCTCACTAAACTTTAACTGTCTTCATCCTATTAATTATACTCAAAAAAAGCCCAAACCCGTTATTTGTACTGGGCTGATTTTCCATCTCAGATGAGACCCTAAATAATTGAAAATTCGTATTTATATATTTTTAATGTAAAGTACTGGCAAATATACTGACCATGATTTAGCAAGAAAGGATTAGCTGAGATAAAAAGCGAATGTACGAGTATGTCATTCATGTCTATGCCCATCTTTAAAAAGGTTAACAGTTCATTGTTGCAACATATATAATATCAAAATATTCCTTGCAATAAAATAATTTATTCAAAATGTGTTGACAACAATTTTGATGAGATGTTGTGCAGATGTGTTTCTTGCCTTAATATTTTCTGGTGAATGAAAATACAAGCGTTATTGTATGCATTTGTAACTTAGTACTCATGGGCGTATCCAGCGGGGTGCAGGGAAGTGCACTTGGCACCCGCCTGAATAAATGCAATCATTTGTTTTTGGTGGGGGCTAAGATTAACCAGCCCCCAAAAGTTCCGACAAATTTGTTCTGTTTCTTATTATTCTGTTGAACTATATTACTGCAAATGCTCAAAGGTTGCCGGACCGGTAGTCTTTTCCTGACTTCAGAGCTTGTCTTGAAATAACCAGTAGTCGGTCTGTCACTTGAGATAGCCTTTTATCTAGGCTCATTTTAAAATATACAAATGAGTAGCAGGTAAACTGGTTGGTATTTCAGCGACCGTTGATTGCACTACTGTTGTTAGCATTACCGCAGTAATCGGTATAATGGTTAGCGACGTTGCCTGACGTACCGATGGACCAGTATTCAATTTCCGAAGAAGGAATGGTTGGTTGTAATTCTATAATGTTGTTGATTAAATTATTTAAGAAATTCAACAACATAATAAAAATTAAGGTCTTTAGTACTCTTGAATAGCTAGATTGAGAAGATATCATTTATGTTTTCTGAAAACGAAATACAAAAAATTCTGAAAGCTTTCAGATTTTACATTACCCTCAAAGAGGCGTTTTTTAACGTTTTCTGTGTTACCTTTATTTAATAAATATGATTTTCTTCGCACTTAAACCATAAAATTCAATTCAGCAGCAATATCGGAAAATAATTTTTAAATGAGCATATCTTCACAATTTCTGATACACAGTCTCGCACGACGGAGATAAAAACGTGTATTTTTTTTTTTTTTTTTTTTTTTTTTTTTTTTTCCGTACGGTGTTGCCATTGCTCGCTTTGAAATTGTTGAGTTTGTTGACCAAAAATTCGTTGTGTTACAAAATATGATATTGATAATAAAACAAATTCTAAATTCCAAATTATTAGTGCTTGTATTCTTTATTATTAATAAAAATTTGAAGTGGCATATTTAACATTTCATTAGAATCAATCTTTATATGCCAGATCCCCAATTTAAATTTTGTTTAGGGTTCCAGCACTATTGATAACTAAGACAGTTAAGTCTAATCTAAAAAGTGGCAAGTGCTGAGATGAATACATTTGACGACAGAAATATTTTTAGCATATCTCAAGCCTATTCCTGTAACAGCAGAAGAATTCTACTTTAGTTTTAAATTTTTGCCTATCCAGGGAAACGACAATTATTCATTAGAGGAGTATTGTTTTAACTAGCCTACTGAAGTTAATTTCTTCTCTGTCTAGGATCTAGGATCGAATTTAGATTAGATCCTAGATGCTTTACATTTTGTATTCGCAACCGATCAAATCGTATGGTTATTTATATGTTGTTGTTGTCTTGTCCCTCTACTTCATGGTAGAGTGGTTGCCGGAGCTTCAAGAAGGTTGGACTTCCATTCTCCCTCCCCAGTTTTTAAGAATAGCACCCCGGAGGTGATCCGAGGTTCTTTCACCCCACTCCCTTACCACCAAACCACTCCTGAGGACTTTCAGCTAGCTGTATGTTTAGAGCACCCCCATGCCGCAAAGACACTCTACATTTACAAACATCTATGCTTTCTCCGGGATTTGAACTCGGCACTTCGGTACCGCAGTAGAGTCCTCTAACCACTATACCATCTGAGCGTCTAACAATGTATATAAAAACTTCAAAATTAAATTGTAAATTCTCGAAAAGTATTTACTTTTTAATAGAATATTAAATTAATATTTACACAGTCAGTAACAGTCAGTTATTACAGTTTATATGCGTTACCATGTAATTTTTACATTGCCTTAATGAAATACCCAATTTCTTAACAGAGGAAAAAATGTGTATGAAATTTCATTTACCTTACTTCAAATCATCGTTGTTAGATTAACAGTAGAAAAAAATCGATTTACTTTTTTCTCTGCTTTTCCAGAACGTCCATTATATATACACATATATATGTTAATAATTCAATAATATTAATAATTTTAATTTTTCTCGTCCATTAGATTCACCTTAAGCAAGACACAAGGTGGGTCGGTAAATAAAAACAAAGGATGGAGAAGAGATACCTTCTTATTGGACATTCTAAGGAAAACTCGTTCTTATTTGCGTTAAAAATTGGCAAAAACTACGAAATCTCATATGCAACTCTATCCTTCCGACACCGGGAATCAAATTTGAGAAGCAATGAGCTAGTATTCCGCGCTTTATGTAATCCATCATTTTATCAAACAAATAGGTAATTATAATATTTTTTTAGAAAATTAGGTATCATTATAGTAAGGTACTCAAAACAATGTCGGTTAAATGGTAATTAACTTACCATTTAACAAACAATGTTTTCATTATATTTCTGAAATTTTGAAAATTAGTTAATAGTAGTATAGGATTTATTAAAAGTAAGCATCGAATGGCTTTTTTTTTTTTTTTTTTTTTTTTTTTTTTTCCATCAGCGGTGGTTGCAGATTACGATAAAAGTCAAAGAAGTCTAACACTAAAGAAGATCCAATGTGCCATAGAAGAAACATGATAACAATATAACCTATTTTTCATATAACCTAATTTACCTATAATCGAAGAACTGCAGGGTTAAAAATAGACGAATTTTTATACTAAGACATTGGAGCTCATGTTTTGCGAGATTGTGAATTTTTTAAACGACAGCATTTCTCGGTGTTGGATGGATTCAGGTTACAGTGATGAAAATATGATTTTATTATATTGGAGAAGAATAAAATCTGCGGTGGTGCATTATAATGGCTCACATTAGCTCAACAGTTAAGTTCTTTGTCAAAATCAATGCCCTCACATACCATAAATGTCCGAAACAGCAGAAAAGCTCTGAATCTATCTTGCTTCATCTACCTTCACCTCCTGTGTTCCATAATACCCGGTGCAGGACCAGTGTGGCGGTGCATAACTCAGCTGTTCAGCATCCTTTCTCCACGGTGTCTCCAGACTCGAATCCGACCATAGTGGTGTTGCAGACAGAAGAGTGACTTGTCAGCAAAGACAATTTCATTCCATTCTGCCGTCCATATCCTTCTTTCATCCCACCATTGGCGGCGGAGACGTCTGTGGCTCTGCGTCAAGGGTAGATGAAGCAATGGACGTCTTGCGGACAGACCACTCTGCTGTAAACGGCGTCGAATGGTACGCGCAGACATTGGATGATGCGTTACAGACTGAATGTGCTGGGCTATGGTTCGTGATGTGACTGAGCGATCCGACACTGCCATGCGCACAATGTTCCTGTCATCGCGTGAAGTGGTGCACTGAGGTGGATGCGATCGAACACGTCGGTCCGTCGTACCCTCCTGCATCCAACGGTCACATATCCGCATTACAGTTGTTTGGTTTGTCCAACACGACTACCGATTTCCCTGAAAAATAATCCACACTCTCGGTAGTCCACTATCCTTCATCTGTCGAACTCGGTTACTTGATGGTAAACGATGATCGCTGTTTACTACGAGGCATAATTCATCGTTTTTTTTTTTTTTTTTTTTTTTTTTTTTTTTTTTGGAAAAAAAAAACACAAGAAAAACACAATTGCCGAACTGAAATCGTCGAAAACTCCAAGTCCTTAAATAGCGTTTTGAAGTGGCGCCACAGGCGTGCGTGATGTGCGTCTGCGCTGAAATTCTAATCATTTGCATATCTCACCTCCGCTAATGCATGTTGTATATTTCATGTTATTTCTATGCTTCCTTCAGGGTGTTGAATTTACGGTGGCCAGCAGTATATTTCACGTAACGATGGCATCTAAAGATGCTTTCAGCTTCTGCAGTCGCTCTATGTAATCTTTGAAGAAATACTGGGAAGTCATAAAGAAGTGTCTTTCATTTAATTTATCCATTATTTAATTTAATATTGGCTTCAGTCTGTCGGACTAAACAATCCTGAATACCATTCGTACACCTCGAAGTTCAATAGACACTTCCGACTATGACTATTTACCCCGCTTAATGCTTAAGACCAAAGTTTACTTTCAACCTAGTTTTTTCAACATTTATCCTATAAACCTGAAACTCAGTATGTACTGTAATATATACATATCTATAATAATTTGTTTATTCTCTTATCGTTTTCAAATAACACAAAACGTGAATACATAATGATATAAGGATTTTAGAAAGTACATAACATTCTGCCTATTATACTAATTATTATGCCAATACTATCATTTGTAATTATATCAATTAATAACTTCCCAAAAATGTATAATAAAAGGTAGTATTTATTTAATTACATCATTGTTCTCCCCTTTACTTTCCGAACTATAGTATAATGAGGTAGGATAAAAATAATCATTTCCAAATCTTTTTATGAGTCCTTATTTAATCATAGATAACTAGTGTATCCCGACTAATCGCCTAGTGGTCACATTTCGAGATTATATTTTTATAATGTTATCATTAATGTTTTTTCAGAATAGCACCATCAAATTTGTTTCAAACTGTTATCGCAGATCAAATTTGCTAACTGTTCTTTCAGATGCGGAGTGTCAGAAATGAATTAACATAGAGAAAATAAATGTTTATATTTTCTTCAGTACCTAGAATGTAGTAATCTCGAATAAAATTGGAAATCAAATTTTAAATTAATGTAAATATTTACATCCTTTTTTAAAAGGAAATCATTACTTTATTTCTAAAGCAGATTTTTTTAAATAAATTTTAGGTAATTGTGTAATCTGCATTGCAGTCATTCTCACGATGGGAACAAACCTTCTATGCGACAATTCAGCATTCTTACCTTTAGAGCATAAGATTCTGTCAGAAAAAATGATCCGTAAAGCAGAAGAAGAGCTTGGAGAGACAAAGGAAAAGAGAAAGGAATGTCTGGAGGAATTTAAAAAACAGATCAAAAGTAAGACTTTTATAAATTAACTTGTTAAGTGACATAATCTTTTATTTGAACTTTTGCTTCAAAATGTGCTATGTTCCAAATTTTTAAAAGCTAAAAACCACAAATATGCTTTGAACTGTTTAAATTTCAATCTATTATTAGAAATTAACTTATTGTATTATGCAAGGATTGCATGAAATTCGAGACAAGTAACGATACTTAAGGTTCAGAGTATGGCTTAAATTGCATATTACATTTAAATGCTTCCGAAATCCCACAACAATTATTTACATGTACGAACATGAGTTTTCAAAAATTGTATTTGAATCATATTTTGCTAAATTTTGCTTTCTTTGCAATTAAATCTCCATTTACAAATTTGTAATCATATTTCTGATTTTATGTACTATGAAATTTCGAAGTTGTAAGATAATTTTTGTCTCCTTACTTCGTGTCTTTATGGTGTAATTAGAAGTACTTCTGGCCAGCAAAATGGTCTGTAGTTCTAATCCCGTCAGATACATCACAAATTTTTCATGTTTCCTACTTCGAGAAGATCATAACATCTCTACGAAGTCGCATCGAATATTTATAAATATGATTATAATTCACTAAGCAGCATATTTTTAATTCTCTCATTTTTTTCAGTTTTTAAATTTAAATTGTTTATACATGTCAACATTTTTCTTCATAATGTATGGCTGGTTTTCTAAATATAAATTCTAATAATAATTTTTGAAATATAAATATATATTTTTAATTCTCTCATTTTTTTCAATTCTTAAATTTAAATTGTTTATACATGTCTAAATTTTCTTTCATAATGCATGGCTGGTTTTCTAAATATAAAGCAGTGGTTCCCAAAGGGATCTGTTTTGACTCCCTGGGATTAATGAAATATTGAAGGGGATGATTGAAAGTCGATAGCCAAAGCAGTTGATTTTTATAGTCAAGATACCATTGATTACAAAATAATAATAAAGAAAATCTGAAAGCTTTCAGATTTTATATTACGACCAAAATGACGTTTTATTTAACGTTTTGTGTCTTACCTTTATTTATTAAATATTATGTTCTTCGCACTTAAACCACATAAAATTCAATTCAACAGAAATATCTGAAAATATTTAAAAACGGCATATCTTTTAGATTTTCCGGTACACAGTCTCGCGCGCTGGAGATAAAAATGCTTGTTATTTTCCGTACAGTGTTGCCATTTCTCATTTTGAAATAATTGAGTTTGTTAATCAAAAATTCATTACAGTTTTACAAAATTTGAAATAGATAATAAAACAAATTCGAAATTCAAAATTCGGCTCCAAATGCCCATGTTCGGTTGGAGGACTACGTTATTCAAACTTGAATGGCTCTAGGTACCGTTGTTTTTTCACAATGCGAGAAATATTCATGCATTCATGCAGATTCTTCATTATTTAGTTTTCTTTAAATATAATACATGGCGATAATATTTAGTGGCAACAGTTTAAAAAGTGAACCAACGCACAAAGTGAAACGATGCAAAATTCAGTTTGGAGACTAATAGTCCTTTGGGCTAATAATAACAATATAACTGATAATTTATTTTTATTGATATAAAGCTGTATGATGTAGTCAGGAGCAAACCATATAAAATAAATATAAGGGAGAAATGAGAAAAAACTTCGTACTATGTTTTTTTAAATCAATAATATTTTGGTTAAACATATAAGTTTTTTGCAATAAATGCAATATGAAAAAAAGTAAAAAGCGGGAACACAAAAAACAAACATACGAAAAACACAAAACTAGAAGGGAAAACAAAAGTTATGTTGAATATTTTTAAACGAGGTGATTTAAAATTAAAATAAGTAGTTTTATGCAAAATGTTAAAAAACATTGCATCAATACAATAAGCACAGTCATCATATTATTTAAAATAACTTTTATGCAATTAGAATCTGTGATTTTGTTTCTGAAAGTTATTTACATTTGTGAAATTAATAATAATGCATGGTCTTATTAAATAGGTGTGCAGCTATAACATACATGATCCGAACCTAACCAATGTAAAGATTCCCTCCCCCAATTCAACAAGTCGTCTTCAGCATCTGAATAAAAGCATTACTGCTATTTTGAAGAGGTCTTCCCAAGCGACTTCTGAAAAGGAGATGGAAACGCCAACTTGGGGTGTTTGATGCAATAAAAGCTATCGCCGCCGCATCCTGGAAATTCGTGTCATCTCAACACACGCAGAACTCTTTCAGCAGAGTCTGGAGACATAAAGACACGTTGGCTCATTAGATGATGATAACGATACCACTTCACCTGAAGAATAGAATATTCTACAAGACATAGCGAACCCTAATGTAAATTTTGAGGAGTTTGTTAATGTAGATGACGATGTTGCCGCGTGTGCTCCATTGGAATGTGATGTACAAGCAATTGTATCTGAGGTGCAAAAAATGTCATCAGAAGAAAGTGAGGAAGACCCCGCTAGAGAGTGTAGTTACAGGTGAAAACATCGTGGACGAAAACGTCGCGGAGAAAATAACGCAAGCGGGGCGAAAACGTCGTCGCACAAAACATCGTGGTACAAAACATCATTGTCGAAAATAAAGCGATTCAGAAACTTCCCAAATTAAAAACATCGTCGTAGAAAATAGAGTGGTAAAAAATAAAGCGCCTACAAATCATCGCATGACGATAACATCGTAGACATGTGTTTTCCAGGCTTTAAAGTTTGTAAATGCATATTCGCATAATGATTTGTGAGCGTAAAACAGAATCAGGAAAATTTTTATTTTTATATTTTGTAACTAACTTGTAGAGACATTAGGCATTTTGGAAGCCGGAGAGATGAAAAATTAGCAACGCGTTCGCCAGGAATCGAACCTCGGACCTCTGAAAGACCGGCTCAGTGTGCTGACCACTACATTACGAAGGCACGCTAGGAAGGCGGGAGAAATACCTTATAAACTAATAAATTTTTGCTGAAAATTTTAGAAGTAAACTTAAGCATTCAAGAACTGAAAAAGAGTAGAAAATTAATGATACTTATAGCAATTAACATAATTTTATGATATGACAATTAATTAAACAATTTTAATAGAGATAACCACATTCATTTACTCATCTTCCTTTTTTCTAATCTACATGAAGAACATAGTACATATAAAAAATTACAAAAAAATTATAATTAATTAATTAATAATAATTAATGGCCTTTATTAGTTAACAATAAAAGTTTAAAATTCCATTAAATGCTATACCTAGAATTATTTTTCTACTCAATTCCAATCTTTGAATACTTAAGTTTCCTTCTTATTTTTCCAGCAAAAACGCATAATTCAAAAATATAAAATTATGAAAGTAAAAACATTCCTCATTCCTTCTTGCGCTCACAAATCATTATGCCAACATGCGAAGGTTTAAAGTTTGAAAACGCATGTAGGCGACACTATCGTTATGCGATGATTTGTGGGTGCTTTATTTTTTACCATGGTATTTTCGACGACGATGTTTTCAAACTGCGCAATTTTAACTGCTTTATTATTTATGGCGATATTTTGCACGACAATATTTTAGAACTGCATTATTTTCTTCTTGCTTTCTTTCCACCCACGATGTTTTGTTCGACGACGTTTTAGCCTTAGCCTTCCGATGTTGTTTCAGCGACGTTACCGTCCGCCATGTTTTCGGCGGACACCCTGAGTGTTACACACATTGGGCATTTTAGAACGTTTTGCTCCAACATCCGAATTGACCGCTAGTTTTACATTAGTGCAGTTGGCCGTGAAATTACCTGGAACAGTACAATATATAGAAATGTTTTTCCAGAAAAAGATCTGTGACATTTTCTCAAATTACGGGACAGTAATTAATGCAATATTATAGTGTTTTCTGCGACGACATACATCATATATTGTAGTAATTATCTAACTACTATCGAAAGTACCCGATCTAGTTACGTTAGATTGAGAGTAATGTATCTAACAACAGAGAGAACAATACCGCTGTAATCCCTCTCTAATGACGATGCAAAAAATATGATTCATTAGTCATACATTTTTCAGTATGATGCGATATGGAACACATAAAAAATTTCGACAGGAAAATAAACTAATTCTCTCTCATTATATCAGCAACAATGGCACGCAGTTTTCCATGAGTTTCGTCTTCCTAATCAAATGGTCGTAAAAGCTCAAGTTCCATCCAATATTTCACCTATATTCAATTTCAATAGATTAAATGTGGCAAAAAATTGATCAGAAATCAATAACGCCGGCAAATTCACAAACAGGCATTCTTTTTTATTGTAGATTTTGTAAAACTCACAAATTTTTTATTAACAAACTCTACGATTTGAAAGTGAGCAGTAGCAAAACTTTTCGAAATAAAGCATTTTTTATCTCCAACACGCTAGATTGTTGACATTCGGAAAAATGAGAGCGAAAATTAGTGTTTTCAGAGTTTTTGATTAATATCTCGGCTGATTAAAGTCGTACAAAGATAGGAATAGTCGAAATAGCTTCCCACGAATTTTTAGAATAGAGAATAATGCATTTAATCTTTAGTAATGCTATTTTTATTAAATTGTAAAGCTTAGAAATTTTTTAATAACAAACTCTACGATTTGAAAGCGAGCAGTGGCAAATACTTCTCAAAATAAAGCAAATTTTTATCTCCAGCGTGCGAAACTGTTGCCACTCGGAAAAATGAGGGCGAAAATTAGCGTTTTGAGAGTTTTTAACTAATATCTCTAATTTTAGCTATTTTTTTCGGAAAAAAGTGAAAGTCGAGCTTCCCCAGGACCCAGGAAAGAATTGTAAAAAGTTTGGTGAAAATAGCTATAGTAGTGCCTTAGTTAACCGCTAACAAACACACAAACAGAAATTCTTCTTTATATATATAGACAGATATACTGTAAATGCTTAATGTGTAGAAAAAAGTTTCCCCAATTAACGCGAATTTTCTGAACATGAAATCTTGATTTTTCAATTTTGGGCAATTTTCCAATTTAATCCAATTCCTTGGGATTTGCGTTAACAAGAGTCTACTGTATATGATGAAAAGTGATTGAATTAAATAAGATTAATGTGTATGACAGTTTATTGGCTTGCTGTAAATCATTTTTGCAAGCTAATAGATACGTGACGCCCGCTCATATAAATCAATAACTTTAAAAAAAATTACAGTTTAATCTTTTTTTGCGTTACTTAAATCGATGGAAAAAATTTATACAGGAGAGTAAATTGAGAACATCTATAAATTTGCATGGACCCGAAAGAAGAGCAAGTGATTCACGTAACTGGAGTTCCGAATAAATTGAATACAGATAGATAAATGAAGTTCTGCTGTAGCAAGGAAATAGGTAACTTTGCTATGGAATTTAACTTGGGCAGAAGGGTTTGATATGACGTTATTATCATAGCTGCCTTCATTCATTAATAAAACCAGTTATAACGCTATATTTTCTTAAACCAAATTTTCCAGCTTTTTTTTTTTTTTTTTTTTTTTTTTTTTTTTCAGAATTAAATAGTTAAATTTCTGAACTGAAGTGTTCTGTGTACTACAAGGATAAAACTTATAAAATTTTACCTTTTTAGTACACAAAATAAATCTCAAACATTTTCTTTGAAGTAAAACTTTTAACTCAAAACCTGCTCTTTTTGTAGAGGAAAAGAACTTGAATGCCAACACTTCTGATGAATTCCTTTTGATGTTTCTGAGGGCTAAAAAGTTTCGACTTGATGCAGCGTTTAAAGTTTTGAAGAGATATTACTTAAACAGAAAAACTTACTCAAATCTGTACCAGAAATTTTCTCCCGAGAACTGTCGTAAGGTTTTACAAGCGAATATTTTAAATTTTCTGCCCTTAAGGACACCTGACGGTGCATCAGTTTGGGTGCCAAGGTTAGGTAAGTATACTTTATTGCAGCTAATGCAATGCCTTTATGCCTTTCTTATGTGTCTCAATATTTTGTACTCAAAAGTGCACGAAATTCATGCAGATAAACATGCATAAACATGCAGAAAATCATGCAGATAAACTTTTATGCACAGTTGATATTTGTCGTATAAATAATTAATTGGAAAACAAGAGTGAAAAAAACCTGCTATACGGTAAATTTCAAATATTAAGAAATCATAAAGACCACACTAAAATCCATTTGCCTTGGAAACTTTTCACTGTGCTGTCTTTTGTTCTGAAAAAAATGGGTAGTGGTAGTACATTCTAGGTAGCGATATACGCTCGCTGTTTTATCAACATTACAGAGCTCCTATACAATTCCCAACAAACTTCTGAACAGATTTTCTGTGTCTTTTCACCTTGCCGATATAATATTAAGTCAGTACTTCCCATTCCGTGCCCTGAGAAGTTTCTGCATTAACGTATCAAACAAAGCTCTACAGAAAGTGATTTTGCATATTTACCGTGAAACAATTAATGGATTTTATTTTGAGACAAACTGTGCCAGACTGTCAAAACTTGCAGTAATCATTTTATTAGAAAATTTGCTATACATTTGGGGTGAATCCATTAATTAGTGTTATTATAAAATTATCTGAATAAATTATCAACGCCTGAAAACATAGTTAAATAAACCTAGTCTCGAAATTTAGTCTACTGTTTCCACTTTATAATGAAAAAGCAAAAGCCATTTTTTATCAGAGCGATAAAAACTTAATAATTTTGCTCTTGAATTATATGCAGCGTAATTGCGAAGAAAACTGTGCCAGGTAATAAATCTAAAAAGACAAAAAAAATTTTTTTAATGTGGTTTAGCAGGTGTGAGAGCAAGAGCAGTCTGGTAAACAGCGACTTCAGTAAGAGCGTAAAGAACTTTAACAAACCTTTTTGGGCGATCGTTAAAATTGTTAACCTATCGTTAACCTTTCAGACATTTTAAAATTTTTCTTATTTAATAATATATTTGATCAAATTTTTTAAATTTATTTATTTATTATTTTTTCTGCGTTTTCTTTTTTCTCGAGACGCAGTTACACAGGTTCTGCGACATACTTTTTAAGAATCATTGTTTTAACGTAAGATCCTACGGAAGGTTTACTGTAAGTGTTGCGAGACTTTCTGAATTTCATTCATTCAGTCTGTTCTCCAATGAAAAAGTAATCAAAATAAAGAAGCAATAAATCTAAGTAATCAAACAAAACAGGCAATCCACCTTAGTGTGAAAACATGGAGCATTTTCGCCCTTCTTTTAATATTTTTCACATAACATTAAAAAATAAACCGTTGCCTAACCATTAAAAATAACATTAATGAAAATTACGTTCACATAACTGTAGTGTAGCTTGCGAAAGTAAGGTAACAAACGCTTGGCTAAAGCCCGCGAACGGGCTGGCTGCATGGGTGTTTTCGTGGTTTCCCCATGTGTAACGTGTATACGAGCCAGTTCCCCTTAGAAAGTCCTCCACGAAGGCATCCCTCCCCTTAGGCAGATAGCCCTAGTGTGCTTTGCCATAATTAAATGCACCAACACCACCTTACGCAGATAGCCCTACTGTGCTTTGCCATAATAAACTAAACCAAAAAGCAAACCCAGAGGTAAATCCTGAATGTTAAAGCTACCGAATTCTTAATGTGTAGTCAACTAAAATCAATATATAAAACGATTTTACCATTAAGAATAACAGTCATATAAGAGTCAGTAAAAATTTGCGAAAAAAGAATAATACCGATCTCCTTACACACATCCACTGAAAGCCACATTAACAATAATTATTATTTCAGATATTCAAACAAATGTATATTCAAATAAAAAAAATTATTTCAAATGGCAGGGAAATAATTCATGAAAAATTGGGCATTTTGATGCAACAATATTAAAACAGAAAGTAATCTGCTCTGCTAATAAGTAATCTTTTTTTTTTTTTTTTTTTTTTTATGTAGGGGCTTGGGATACGAAATCATTTTCTATTGAAGAAATCACCAGAACTGGTTTAGTATGCGTAGAAAAGGAGATGAAAAATCCAGTAACTCAAGTGTGTGGCATGGTAGTCCTCATAGATCTCAAAGGGTTTTGTTGGTCCCATATGTCTCAAATTACCCTGAGTAGTCTTAAATGCTTCATCAACACCGTTCAGGTAAGATAAATTTCTCTTAATCTGAAATCCCTGCATTATTTTCTTTAATTTAAAAACGTATAAAATAAACTTCCGACAAATACACGAATTACGAGATTTTACGCGTAATTTTAATAAACTTATTATATTAACTAAAAACTTAAAAGGTTATACTTGATTTGGTACTGCTAATTAGTAGTTCTGTTACCCTAACAGATGTGAAGCGATTTATCGCTATGTTTGAGATAAACGACAAAATTTTACTAAAGATATAAACTACTTTTTTATTTAAACAGAACTGTGAACATAAAAGCCCAACTTTGTGCTACAATAACGACAGTATGTAAAAATGCAAATTTTAAAAAAAATCTTAAAGGTTTCAGATTTTAAATTACGTCCAAAGGGGCGCTTTTTTAACGTTTTGTGCGTTACCTTTATTTATTAAATATCATGTTCTTTGCACTTAAACCATAAAATTCAGTTCAATAGCAATGTCGCAAAATATAATTTTAAAATTAGCATATTGTTAGAATTTCCGACATGCAGCTCCGCGCGCTAGAAATATAAAGATCTTTTTTTCCCCCGTAGAGTGTTGCGATTGCTCGCTTTTAAATCGTTGAGTTTGTTACTCAAAAATTCGTTTAAGTTTTAGAAAATATGAAATCGATAATAAAACAAAATCCAAATTTCAAATTTGGTCTTCCACATGCCCATATTCGTAGGAGGATACGTCATTCAAAATTTGATGGTTCGACATACCGTTGTTTTATCACAATGCGAGAAATATACATTCATGCATGTTTTTCATTATTTAATTTATTCAAACATAATGCAGGACTCTAACATTTTGTGGCAACAGTTTGAAAAGTGAAACGGACATTTATAATGATTGAACGCAAAATCGCAAAACGAAAACAATAGTCCTTTCAGGGACAAAGCCCCTTTGGACTAATAAGAACAATTAATAAATTTAAACGTTGAGTAGTAGTATAAGACTGCACAATTAATTACAAAATTAGAAGCTAATAATTTACCGGTGCATCAGATTAAAGTATTAGTGACGAGAGAAACGTAGAATCAAATAATTACAACTGCTACAGCTGGCAGAATCTACCCACGTAAGGATTAAAACACTCACTCTCGAGATCCAGAAAACTCAGCTTAAATACTCAAACAATTAATTTGCATTCTGTTGAAGAATACGGAAAGTAAAATATTGAAGAATAAGATCCTAATAACTGGTCAATTAACATAAGATACTCTACAAGTTGTTTAAGTAGAACAGTTACATATGCTTTTTGCAGTAGTGCATAAATTTGCAAGGAGCTGTATCATCTGGCTACCATTGCCAAGAGAGCATGTGAATGCAATGCAGTAGTTATACGCACAGTATACATATAATTTGTATGGTAAACAGATGAATGTGCTTTATTGGTGCATTGCATTTTTGTCCATTAGGGAGAGTTATAAAAGGATATTATCAAAGTTGGTTGCTGCATACTAAATGCACATTATAACGAAATGTATGTACGCGGTGGTCAACAAAATAACAAATTAAATAATTTATAAATTATTAATAAAACCAAAATTAACATAAGGAGAATTTCTATTCTGAGAACTCTTAAGCTTGTTCCTACGTGTTCCTTTTTTAAATTTTGCATTCAAATTACGACATAAATAGAAAATGCATGGCATAAGTACAAAAACATCAAAGCATTAAAAAAAGACTTATTATCGTTTGAATAAAATAAAAAAAAGCTTAAAATTTATAGGTTGCTGCAAAATGTCAGCATCAAGATTCAATTTGGTATTGAACAAAGACTTAATGTACAAGACTTCAAGTTAGAACATTTGCAATGGAGGTATTACAGAAAGCCATAAGAAAGTATTTTATTAATTATACTTTTTATATAAAACAACTTAAAATATTCTTAAGTAATTTTTAAATTGGGTTACATTCTTATAATTCGAAGATAAATTAAATATTTTAAGTGTCGTTGATTGGAAACAAACTGCTCTCTTATTCTTGATATTTATTTGTAACGAATTGGATTTTGCGCTCATGAAATCCTATAGCACATTTGTGAGGAATTAATAAATAAATAAATAGCTCTGATTTAATACTGATAAAATCTTAAATAAACAAGGGAAAAATAAATGAATGATGGGATAAATAATATAATGCAGAAATCAATATTTTAGAATGTATGGAAAAATACAAATGTTGTAAGGGAAACTTTCCACAAGAAATGCAGAAATTAAATTCCTAACTTATAATCTGTTTGCTCTGCGTATTAGCATATACGCGTATAACTTTTCAAATTGTTGCCAGCAAATATTATCTCCCTGTATTCCATTTAAAGAAACTAAATTATGGAGAATCTACATGAATGTACGTATGTACTTCGCATTGTGAAAAAACAATGATATCTAGAGCCATTAAATTCTGAATAACATAATCCTCCACCCGAACATATGACCTAGAAGTCGGAATTTTATATTTCATATTTTGTAAAACTTTAATGCATTTTTGATTAACAGATTCAAAGATTTGGAAATGAGCAGCGGCAATATTATACGGAATAACATATTTTTATCTACAGCGTGCAAAATTGTCTGTCGGAAATTCTAAAATTATGCTGCTTATAAATATTTTGTGATTTTGCTGTTCAATTTTATACGGCCTATGTGTTAAGAATATGATATTTAATAACTAGCGTTAACACACAAAACATTAATAATTAAAATACAAAAAAAGTGTTGCAAGCCATCTTACTAACAAAACATTCAACATTGATTTGGTGAACTGAGAGAAGACTTGAAAAAAAAAAAAAAAAAAAATTAGAAAAAGGTATGCCAACACTTAACACTCAATCGAAAATTCTAAACATAAGCTGCTATGCTCCTTTCAAAATTTTTGTGATTTTGCTGTTGAATTGTATATGGCATAAGTGCGAAGAAAATGGTGCTTAATAATAAAACTAACAAGAGTTAGTGCAACAGCCACGCTGGTAGACTACGAGCTCAGCGAAAGCTTATAAAACCTTAATAAATTCTTTTTGGGCTACCGTTAAAGTCTAACACCTTTCAGTTTTTTTTTTTTTTAATTTTTATACATATATTTATATTTAAACCTTTTTTTAAAGTGTTTATATTGAGCCTAATTAATTTTGTTACGAATTTCTTTTATTTTTCCGTGTAAAATGTTATATGCTTGTGCAGTTTCTACAAAGCTGAGTGAAAATATGATTTTAATAATCTTATAATCTTGAAATTAGGATGGCTTGCCAGTGCGTCATAAGGCAATGCATATTATCAACAATCCCAGAATATTCGGTTTTGTGTTCGACACCGTGAAGCCCCTCTTAAGTGAGAAAATAAAGAAAAGGGTAAATATCTTTGTCTTCTTTTTTAAAATAAGTGCTTGTACAAGATGAATTTTTTATTCTTTCTTTTCTTGTTTAAATACTGTTATTTACAACAAATCTTTAGACATATATATATGAGTATACTGGTAAAAGAAATCCTGATTATCCTATCTGACGCAAAAGCGTAAAAAATATATGTGTAAAATTTTAAAGCAGACAAAATGTCAAGTTAAGCTGTTTGTGCGAGAATATGAAACAAGTCAGTAGTATAATTTTTTTTTAATTAAAACTGAAATAACCATAAAAATAGTAGTGAAAAAGCAAAGTAATGTAAAAACAAAAGAAGCAAAGTGATGTAAAAACAAAATATTAATCTCCCTGTTTACTGTTTCACACAAAACTTGTCAAAGCGAAGTATTTGAAACACTAAACCTGGTCGATTAATGAATTTCGAGTAACATGTTTCCTTCCTCTGAACAATTTGACAACAACTAATAAATGATGTACAAATTGCAACAAAGAAAAATGGTAGGAATGTACATAAAATTTAGAAAATTTCGTCAAATTTACACATACACACAAGTAATTTAACACTTTACGTAAAGTGAATTTATAAATAATTATAGGACTGTCTCGAAAACTTGTAGTCTTATCTTTTTTTAATAAAAATTGCAATGGATTAAAATGGAAAAAGTATTTTTAAATTGATTTGGTATTTTAAACAAAAGAAGCTAAACAATAAATCAGAAAATAAAATGAAACATAAAAAGAATAGTCATATTTGTAGAATCGAGCCATGCTCTTCAAAATAGCAAAATTAAACAGTAATACAAGTACAAAGGCAGATTGCCAAAATCTATATTTGGAATACATCATGTCCGGTTTGCCACATCGTGAAACTTGAAACAACCGTTGAAAAAAGAAGATGGTCACAAGTACGAGCTCCAAGGCAATAAAAACTGATGTTTCCAGAGCGGTGCAATTTGGCTGGCTCTTGACTGAAATAATCTTCCTCAAATCGCATAGAAGTGTTAAAAAGAGGTGGGGGTAGGTCAGTTACAGAGTGTAGTCTATCACATCCTTATTCCTGGGTTGCGAGTATTTATTGGTTCCTCCCTGAGCGTGCTCTATTTACTGGCTTTTCCCTCTCGCTCATTGTTCCCCCAGTGCTGCAACACAGGAGAGATTTTACCTGATTTTCTTCAATAAATTTTTGTTTTGGTTTTTCTGTTGACAAAAATGCAGTACATTTAACTTTCTCTGTATATTTTTAAACAGTCTGTTATAAATAAAACACTGAATACAACTATTTAATTAAAAGTCTAATTTAGCAACATCACTTGCTTTTTTTTAATCTGCTTCCTCAATTTGAAAGTAAATTTATCGAGGTTAAATACATTCGGAAATAATCAGTAATTTATTCGCCATAATATAATTATCAGAAAATTAGACCTCATAAATAGTTTAATAGATAGCAACGCTATTGTTCATTTGATAGCATACTGATTCATAACAGTATTTAGTCATTTCACGCGTTCAAAGTATGAATACTTGTTGTTTTATTTCGAAACCTTATAGTTACTGTGGCCAGTTTTTAATTCAGATTTAAAATTAGGTTTTTTTTTAGTTTATAGTTATGAATTCTTTGGTACAAGCTTGTTAATCATAAAAAAACAATATAATAAATATTTTAGCTATTTTTTATTTGAACGTTAAGTAATGTTACTTTTTAAACATTTATTTTTTTTCACATTAAGTGCAAGCTTTAATCACAGTTCATTTATGTTTCTAAATAAATGTACGGGTTGACCATCTCTATTACAGTATCACTTCGAGTTATAGGGTTCTTGATAAGTAAACCTGCCAGATTACAGATGGTTACTTTATATTATACGTAACTGAGCTACTAACCCTTTCATCTTGCCTTTTAAATGTCCTGTAAATCACATTATGTTGGTTGATAAAGAAAAAAGAAAAGTTAACTAAAAATCATGTCTAATTTTGATGAAATACGCGTGAAATGAAGATTACAACTCTCTTTCTTACTTGCATCTAAGATTTAATTACTGTAATTTTCAAACTGAGAATTAGACAGTCACGTATGTTATTCTGTAATACTTAAAGTGCCCTAAGATTTGGCTCACCACAGAAGCTGCATTTTTTTCCCTAGACGTGATACTGGACCTGATTTGATTTAATTCAAGACGATAAGCTATAATAACAACATAACGTAATTTTGCAACTTATATTTGCATAACTTGTATTAGAATATCTATTTTCTTTATTTCGGACGATGACTGAAATATTAGGAACTGATGATGATGTCAGTTCATCTGGGAGAACACATGCTGGAATTTGTCATTAGCTTAGAGAACTGGGGTTTTCGTAGCAAGAAAAATTCTCAAATCATTCCAGTGTCAGTTGTTTCTGCTCTTAGTCTCAAGAAACAGTGACATACATTCTGGAATATAAACTTTTACCTATAATCAATAATTTACATTGGTTTATCTCTATGACATTTAAAACACCCTAGCTCATTCTAAAGATACGTTCTTTTACTCTAATACTTCACAACTTATAAGCGGTTGCATCTCAAATAGTCAGAACTTCATCTTGAAGTATGCTTTGAGAACAACGCAGTTCCATCTAAATTTTAAACCTTTTCTTGCACTTAATCTTTATTTTACACTAACTTGGCTAATATAATAACAAATTCAATGTATAGTATACAAAATTTTAAATCATATCGGTGTCTGAAATGCGCAAGCCAGCTTTCAGTGTAATGGCATTCGTAATATAGACCAATTCTTCATAAAAAGTTCTGGCTGTTTCCTTCCTCAGAGCCCCCAAATATTTCAACATTTTTAACTTTGATATTAAGTAAACTACATCATAACAGCCTTATCTAGGTTTTGCAATTTTTATTTTATTCGATGTTTTTCTTATATGCATTTATTCCTTTGAATCACTCTCAGCAAAAACCTTAAATAATTTCTTCTCTTTTTCTTTTAACATACACTGGAGATAAGCCGATTCTGTATTAAAGCATAAAGCCTCATATAGATATGTAACTGTCAATTTTTCAGACAATCTACTTCATCTATTGCAGACAGTATAATGTATTTCTTTGCATTTTTAAATCATTCTTTCAAAATTTTAGAACGGTGTTGTGTTTGTCTTATTGTCTCTAAGCTCATATAGTAATGATTAACCTTGGAGAATAACAAAACATATCAAGTTCAATTTGTCGAAAAGTTACGATTTTTTAGCATCTTGAAAACATAGTCGTACTTGACACTTTATTTTACGTAGAAACGCATAACTATGTTACTAACTTTTAATCTCCCTTTCTGTTAAAGTCCGAATATTCACAGAAAATTCCTTTTCATATGCTCAAAAGGAATTAAAAGCAAAATTATAGAACTAATAAGAGTAGCAGAAAGCAGATTGCAACAACAAATATTGGATATCTTAGTGCAAGGTTTCGAATTCTGGAACCGAACGGTTTAGTTTGGTTTATTCGATTATGGCAAAGAACTTGAGGGTTATCTGCCTGAAGGGAAGGATGCCCTTCTTGGAGGACTTTCTAAGGGAGACCGGCTCGTATACACTTGGACACCAATGCAGCCAGTCGAAAGCTCGGTCTGAACTACCGGTGCTCAGTGACGGTGCTTCGGTCGCTGGTGGTCGTAACTGAACGTCTTACGATGACATAAAACAACAGTCTACTGATCTATTTCCTGTTTACACGATAAAGTTAATAACTCTCTTACACTCTGTTTTAGTAATTTTAATAATAAAATGCAAAGCAATTCCCTTTCCGTTTCTCTGACAAGGCGCCAAATTATCTCATTCTCTCACTATAGAAACAAAACACCAACCCCCCCCCACGTAAACAGATACTACACTTTAATACCTAAGATCAAAGTGTAGTGTTTGTTTTTATCAGCTTAATATATCATTTCAGAGCCAAAGTGTTAAATTCTTCCTTTCTCCTAGCGCTGCATAGTTTAAATATGATTTTAACTTCATCTAGAAAAAAGCTTCGAATTAAAACCTGTCAGATATAAGTGAAAAAGGAAGAACAAATGTCTAATACGTTAGTAACATAAACGATAATAAGAAGTAGTTAATTATAAATTTGTAAATAACTGCGGCAGAATGAATTTGCAGTTCCATGTTCACCATAGAATCCTTCTTTGGATTCTCACCATAACATAGCCATCACATAACCATGTTCACCTTAGAATCCTTCTTTGGTTTCAAGTGTAGTATAGTTAAAAAGACACGTGTATTTAAGTCGACTTAGATTTCTTGTGCATAATATTCGCAAGCCCAGGAGTTCCAAAAGAGAGATTTTTGCTTCAAAAGCCAGAATTTAAATGAACATTTCCAATTGTCCCCGAACCCCATAATATTTACAAAACTTTTGTGGGACCCCATAAGTATTGCGCAATCTGACACACGCGTGAGTGAAACTGTCATTTTTTTCACTTGTACTGTAATATACTGTTGCAGTTTCAGGTCATTAACTTTAATTTCTAATTTTAAGACATAGAACAATGTGAAAATTTTAATCAAGTAACAGCGTCCCGTGCAAAGCACGGAAAGTGAACGCTTACATTATAAAAAGAATGTGTCGAAACGTTTTCGTTCTTTTCTTTGTCTGTATTGTCTTATCTTTATCTATTTTCAGATACATCGTGTAAAAATATTTGGTAATTGTAAAATTATTATCGTAAGTTAAAGAAATACCAAAACTGCTAAAATTTTTGGCGACCCCCTGCTGCAGGGTCCCGCGACCCCCTTGGAGGTCGTGACCTAGAGTTTAAGAAACCCTGGTTTAGAGAGCTGCTTCTTTCATAGCAAAAGGGTGATAGTCTTTCCTTTTTCTCATACATTTTCGCTCTACATATTTACGCGCGATTAACAGCAAATCAAACATTTTCAATAAAGTAAAAACAACCACGTAATATTAAGTAACTGGAATAACTAAATCTTGTTTCTCAAAGCATTCTTAAAACTGCATCAATAGCTTGGTTAGGATAAATAGATTGTTATTTACTGAGCTTTTTACCAAGAAGTAAAATTTTCAATCAAAATTTCATTTGGTTTTTATTACTAATAATTCTGTATTATAATATATAAAAATCTATTTGTAAGCCATTTATTCTCAGCCTTTAAATTGGAATACTTTTGGTAAACCTATTCGAATGCTAACATTTGTAAATATGTAAGCTTCTTAAGTTTCAACATTTTACCAGCTTATGCTTCCTTGTTCTCTTTTAGATTGTACATATGTAAATAAATAGATTATTAATATGAGGGCATTTCGAATATTGTCTCATAAATATTTCACCTTTTCTATTTGTTAAGTTCTCTTTCCTTCTCTCTTAGGTATACTTCCATGGAAATGACTTGAGTAGTTTACATCAGTTCCTTCCTCCAGAAATGCTGCCTGAAGAATTTGGTGGAAAACAGGGCCCATTTGGAAATGAAAGATTTTATAAAAGCTTACTGGACAGTGAAGAGGAATACAAAATCTATCAACAGTATGGATATAGTGCCATCAGAATGTAAAAACAGAAATGCTTGCCAAACTGTACATACATCATAGAATCAGCTGTGATCAAGCTTAAGATTTGAAATTTGTATAAAATATAACATATTTTGTGAGATCTTCAAATGACTATATCATCTTGTAAATACGTAACCGAGAGATGAATTCATTTCCCTCATCCCCATTGGGAGATTCTGACCCCAACATTCAGTAACTTCTATAACATAAATTGGAAGGAATGTACTTAATTAAAATTATAGAGATATGTTATAAAAGTAATTCATTCTTGATTATACAGAAAGAAATCTGTATACTGTGTATATTTTTATTGTGTATATAATAAATTGCATATCGCTGAGTGTTTTTCTTATTCTTCACATTTTTTTCGAACCAAAGATTTAAAGTAAACATTTACAAAGAGTAATATTGGTTTTAACATTAACATTTTGTTTCGTAGGAGCTTTATCATTCATAATGCTTTCTTGTGATAGATAAACTTAGAGTGTGTTAAAAATTAGAGTGTCTACTATTGTATTTCTTGACTTAAAATAGACTCGTGATTGATGAAATCGGCCAGACGGAAGTTATTAACAACATAAGTGTTGAGACTTATCATCTGCACTGTAAATAAGAATTTACTAAATAAATATGTAACAATTTAAAGCTCAGTAATCCCTACAACATGTGATTCAATTTAAAGATACTGTCTACGGTAAAAATCTAACTAATTTTTGTGTTTCCTGCTCTAAAAGCCTAATAGACCCTCATAACACTACTTGACACACAAAGTTACAAAAGGCTAATTGTTTTCATAATGATTAAAATCTGACAGTTCAATGTAAGTAGGCCCACAGAACTTTTTTCTCTGAACCTAAATCATTACTTTTCTATTTACATCAAGAGTGGTTTTCATAACCATGGCTGATAGTAGATCGGGAACAACCTCGATTCAACGACGTGAGCTGACAATCGCCTGGAATTCAGCAGACTGAAATGCAGTTAAGAAAGTGCTGTATTTAACCTCGCTCTTTGGTGACTCAGATTTGCGTAAAGTTCTAGATTGGACGAAATTTATAACGATGGAGCCAAGCAGAAACACGAATGCAACTTAAAATTTCATTGGCTAAAGAAATTGAACAATTATCGCAATGTTATCACTGGTCATAGGTAACTGTCAGCAAAAACTGATGATATCTTATATAATGTTTTCAGATTTTAAACAAAAAAAAAAAAACTAAGTTCATTTTATCGAAGGATATGGAATAAAATACCATTGCTATTTTTCTCTTTCTGAGCCTTTCTTTGCAGGAGGAACCATCTTCTATAATAAAAAGTGCCGAAGTTTTTTATGGATGCCAGAGAGGATTATTGACAAAAATATAACTGTGAAATGAAATGATATATAGAATAATAAGGTCCTTTGCTTTATTAGGAGGTTTAATTTTCGTTTTCGATTTTCACAAACTTCTCCAACTGGCTGCTTTATGCCATTATTATCGAGCCTTTTGTTTGATGCGTTCTAGCTATCAAAGTAATGCCAGGAAGGAACGCATAATACTAGATTTTACCTTAAAATTTGTTGTTTAAAGCGAGAAGTATTTCAAGTGTTAGGGATAACGCAAAACATAACAGAAATGAGAAAAGTCCAAATTATTCTTAAGATACGGAGTACAATGTTGATAAGTGGCGCCATCTTTCGCACCCAAATTCGCGCCACTGAAATTCATCTAAAAGAAGGCAACAGAAAATTATATTTTCGCTCCTTCAAAAAGTTTCACAGTGAAAGCTGCTAGCTTAAGTTTTTGTACTAACAACTCAATCTGTTTTCATTTTACAGCAAACTCCACGAACTTGCTGAACGTGCTGGAGATTCTTTCAACCATAAATAGGTCCATCACTGCTTACTTTGCAGATTCAGTGCTTTCCTTATCTGGTAACGTGGTACTTTTCCGTTTCGCCGGATCAAATCTTGCCAAGCAGACTTTATTGGCGACAACATACAGTGTAGACATAAAAAATGTTAACAAATGTTAGTTCTAAGCATTTTTTATTTTAAAGGCATAAACATTTTAATATCGTTTAAAATTTTGCAAAAAGACAATAAATAAAGACAATAAATTTTTAAAAAAGATATTAATTTAAGAATTTACTATGCTTTCATGGTTCAACATCCTGATTCGCCTTTTTATATCGAGCTGAGCGGTAAAGTCGCTGAACACTGGTAGTTCGGTCCGAGGTTCGAATCCCGCGCTGGCTGCATGGGCGTTTTCGTGGTTTTCCCCATGTGTAACGTGTATACGAACCAGTTTTCCTTAGAAAGTCCTCCACGAAGGCACCTCTCCCCTTAGGCAGATAGTCCTCGTGTGCTTTGCCATAATTAAATACACACACCACCACCACCCTTTCATATCACGTGACCCCAAGTAATCTCATCTCACGTAAACTACTCTACAAAAATCTAATTCCCTCAGTAATTATCTACATTAATTTCAAGTTAAATATTAATTTGGAATACAAGTTTAAAGGCAAGAATTATTTCAGTTCGTACGAACAGCTTACTCAGAAATTATGTAAAACCGCAGTGCTTTACTTCGCTAGTGCATCTCATTAGAATTGATGAATTTAACCCTTGACTTTACCTTTTCTATATTTTCGCCTTCGGGTGAGCGGTGTGATTGCATCCTAATTGACTTAATTACCGCGAATGGCCTTATGGCATAAAACTGGTACTATCTGGTAAAAGTTCTATGTAATTGTGTGCCAGTATTGAAAGAAACAATCAATCTGATAAGAAATGGCTGCAAATTCTTTTGAAAATGAGGCGTAAAAGATTAACAGCGAGGATATTACGTTTGGCATCAATTGTGCCATTATTGGCATCAATTGTATCATTATTGGCGACTTTAACGCCTGCGCCGGCAAAACGGAAAGGTACCGGGAACGTTATTGAAAAAAATTTTGGTCCACCCGATGGCTGGCTTTTCGTGTGACTTTCTTTTGCGAATTTTTGGATAAAATTCATATGCTTTAAATGTGGCTATGTGATTCAGCTTACATCGAGCCCAAATTGGTTTTTCGTCTTTAAAGAGAATACATGTATAACTCAATGGCTCCTGACTATACTTTAGGTATCTTGGGGATCTGTAGCAGAAAATTTGGCCCTTTCTGACACCGAAAATATGTCGTGATGTTCTTAGTTGATCTATATCTTCTGGTGTTAACTTTTGAACCTAAAAAAGTTCAAAAGTGTTTCCTGTATGTAGATACTTTATCCTGCATCGTTCCTCTTCACCGAAGCAAAAAACACAGGAAGCTTCCCTTCAGCTCCTTGAGATTTTTGTTGCAAATTGTATGACTCTGTCAACATGGTAACTAACCTTTGATGAAAAGTTCCATAGTTATATCTTCAGAATTAGTATTAGCAGGAAGACCAAGAATAACCACCTTAATCCATTCGGAAGACCTTACGGAAGAAGGTGGTTACCTTAACATCCAGAAGAAAATTATCATTAGAAATCTACCCATAGGTTATGAGCTTTCTCTGATCCATGAAATTGTAAACGAAAAAGGCATTAAGATCGAGCAACAGTTGCGTCGACATGGTACTCAGAGGACATAGATGCCTCCTTTCTAGTCACGCTTTTTTCACGAAGTTTTCGCCTTGCGTTGTTTTCTCCGCGATGTTTCCGGCTGTAACCCGTATATTACGCTGACAAATTCAAATACGAACTTATTAATACAGACTAAACCTCAAGACTACACTTCCCACATCCTCAGAGATGAGTCTTTTCCTTGACAAACTTTTTTCACTAAGATGTGATCTAGGAAAGCATAAAAAGTTCCAGTTATTATTCTAATTTCATGATATTCGCTGATGGACGAACTTCTTCAACCATTTTCCCTTCTATAACCGTAATTTGACATAATCATGACTTGACAACCTCTCGTATTTCTGACTAATCGGAGAATTTCTTCAGTTCTCCTCCTAGGTCCAGACTACGATGCATACACCACTTGTTCATCGCTTTTAGTTCTAGTTGTTTGGAGGACTTCAGTTTTCTGAGAGAAAATATTCTGGTTTTCACTGGCAAAAAAAACGAGCCCTGGGACTAATTTTATTTATTTTTCTTCCTGCATTTCTTCAACTTTGGATATTCGTTTAGAATTTCTTACGCATGTTGGCCATACTGGGACTTCATTAAGTTGCTTTTAATAGCGCACAAAATTGTGTGCTAACAATAGCATGATAACAAAGTATCAACATATCAAAGGTGGTGTATGGTGTATTGTGAATACGGCAAAGCACACTAGGGTTATCTGCCTAAGGGGAGGGATGCCTTCATGGAGGACTTTCTAAGGGAACTGGCTCGTATACACGTTACACATGGGGAAAATCACGAAAACGCCCATGCAGCCAGCCCGTTTGCGGGATTCGAACCTCGGACCGAACTACCATTGTTCAGCGATTTTACCGCTCGGCCGCTGGTGGGCTCAACATATCAAAGAATCATTCCTTTCTGTTTGTTTTCCGCTAATATTATGTTGGTTTGCTTCTGCAGCTGTGCATATCACGTTCAGTACTATTCCTGGCATTTTTTTTTTTTTTTTTTTTTTTTTTTTAAAGTAATGCGCATGATAAAATATTTGTAATGCAAAGGGGCATATGATAAAAACAATGGTTCTGGAGCCAAATTATGTCTGTTTTAATAATTTTAAGAGACATACTACATAGAACACATTTATAATATGAAGTACAATTAAAATATTATTGATTAAAAATTAATAATATAATGATTTAATTAGTTCTAAAATAACAATAAATTGATAAAATAGTAAATTTACTGCAAAAGGATAAAAATTAAAATACAAACGAAATTAAGAAAACCGTAATTGATTGAAATTATTATTATTCAAAGTAATCATGCAATTAACATGCTTCCAATAGAATTTTATAGAGATGACTTATCTTCTAACAGACTTTTAAATATTTGCCATAAAGCAATGAATATATTATGT